AGCTGGTTTGAGCGAGAAAACCCTGGATCTGATCTATAGCCAATGCAAACAACAATGACACCTCTCGCAACCGCCTTACCTTCACCTTTGACTGGTTCATCTTATTCAGAACTGCAACTGTTACGAATCTAGCTGGTCTACCATGTATATGTGAATCCAATGGACAGCCTGCCTAAAGCAAAATCTGCTTTTTCGAAGACAAACGATATTGCGATATGAATAGTGCAGTATTCAGTTTATTGGATTTTCTCTATAGCAGGGCTCTCCCATTATCTGATATGCAGTATATACACAAAATGTAGTCCAAACATATGGAAACGCTTGAGAACCTAAGTTGTTACAGCTGATGATGAAATTATTTGGAGAAATACCTGGAAATCAAGAGAAGCAGATCCTTACACTTTCTGCTCCAGGCCATTTTGGGAGTATGAGAAGAACTGAGACCTTTAGGTGAGGCGTAGCTTCGCTACATACTAGTTTGGAGAATGTCACGTGAGGCCCATTGGCCCACAGAAACACCCTGCCTTGAAGTCCTTCGAGTGGGCGTTCAGGAATCCTAAAATGAACTAATTCTCATTCAAATGGGCACATGCCCACGGCTCATATAACCTAACGGCTCCTTAAGATCCAAAAAGTCTTTGGCAGTAATTTGTTTCTGGGATGCGCCGAAGCACTCAATTCCCATTCAGAATGGTATGGTAGGGTTTGAATGGGTATATGGCCTATACATTGAATTGCGGAGGCCAGCCGATGTACAAGACAGTGCTTTTATCCTCCCAGACGAGTCTGGAACCAATCAAATGACCCCAGAGGGATGAAAGGCCTGGTTGGCCTAGGCGGATATCGAACCGGGAATCGATCCCCCGCCCATGCGTGTGTGATAGTGCCCCATTTGCCACTACGAAACTTCCGCCCTCGGCTACTTACTCATATGTAGAAATTCCTCTGATTCAGCTATGCCCTTTACGAAATTCCTCTTAAAATGACTTTATAAGGACTACTGTAACAAATAGCTATCACGTAGAGTAACTCATTTCTAAATTGTCTAGAATTATCTAAATGATCAGCTAATAACCCACTCGGTACTGCACCGAAAGAAAGTGCAAATTTCACAAAAAATCCATCTTGTACACTTCTCAGCAATCCTCCAAGAAGAAGGGTTTCGAGAAAGAAAAGGGCAAGTGGGAATATCCCGAGTGCTTTCAACTAATGTCGTGGGCGACGGGTATTCTCGAGCAATAATATCGTAATGGCGTATTATTAGCACTTGAATACCGTCCGCCATATATCGACATCAACAGCACCCGTTATGTGGGGTCATTGTGGGTAAGTCACGTATTCAGGCTTCCCTAGACGACTACCTCAGTACTGTTGAAGTCCATCTGGGACATGTAGTCACCAACAGCCAGAATGCCAACCAACCAGCCAGTCGGCTAGCCACTGACAAACATCGATTAGCTGCCGATGCCCCCTGAAAAGCATCCGTTTTTCTGTAAAAAACTGACAATGCTCTCGAATGAAATGGAGCCCACCAGAATGAAGAGGACGACGGATGAACAGCGACGAGAGCTTATTAATAGACCAGGCAATCGTTTCCAGTCGTTGGCCAAATGAAAATCGATTTTCGAGGCATTTTTAATGTTATTGGTCAAGAATGGGCCACATTTGTGGGTACACAGCTCAGAGGTACATGAACGTCGCCGCCTATGCCACCTATTTCCAGCTCTGCCAGGTATTCCCTTATATAGGACCCCTTATAAGCTTTATTGAAATATTTTAATGATTTCTTTGTAAGCATTAGGATTTACCAAAAATATCCGCCAAAGTTTTCGCCGTAGTTTGGATTATCCCAGAGTTTTCTGGGAGGTTCCCTGGGGTCTCTATGTAAGGACGCTGCCCACGCTCATATACTAGCATAAACGGTGTCCTCTTTCTTGCCTATTTAGCCCTATAATAACCTACTGTCTACCCGTACATAATATGCGCTTCTTAACGAGCTCGACTCTTACCACTTCGCTCTAGAAAATTTTTGAAACTTATTTCAAGCATTTGACCCAAAAGCCCTTCCTGGGTGGTTCTGTGCACACCTCGTTCCAACGCTCTACAGCCTGAAGCAGGAGGGTCGAAAATGAACTTCAGGCTGCTTATCCGACTACGATATCATGAAATCTTGTGATATGTTGTAGCCCACAAGTGGGTAGTGTCTTTTTACAGTATTTCTGTGGAAACTTCCAGAAAATTTAGTGGAGATCTGGACCACTGCGAAATTTTCGACTAACTTCCAAAATTCGTCGTAAACTTTTCGAAATTTCCCGTAAAACTTATTTATTCAAAGAATACTGTAATAACCATCCTACTATGGAGATACTGAAAAAAATCGCTCAGTCTTCGAATTGGTGAAGATAAAGTATTACGAGGCTTCAACATTTTCGCTACAGATTTTACGGAAGTCTATTTTTCAAACTTTTGGAAATAACTACTTTCAAGTATCGACAGTTATGTAACCGATTGCTATTGCCTCTTCTAAATAGCCAAAACAAAGTGCAGTTTTATAAAATGTAATAAATGTACGCACTCACGGTGGCGAACGTGCTCCAGTGACATTTGGCTTCGCCATCACCCGATTAATCCATGATTAAATTTTGATAAGGCCACCTAAGCTTTCTATTTTTTCCGATCACTTGTTCAGTGAAAAGCTCGTCTGAGGAAATGAGGATTATCCCTCGAAAGTCACTGTGAAGATCAACTATTTTATCGAGCGAAATTTATATTGCTATTTTAATTTAACCAATTAATTTTATACTTTCATTTTAATACTTCCTATGAATGTGTTATCGAAATGAATTAGGATTTTGTTCGTGGAATAGGAATAGAAGTTAAAAAAATAAATTTTTTTTTGGCGTCGACCAATCCTATCTGAGGACTCGTCGTGACGTTCCGCACTCGACTTCCATTCAGAATCGTAGTGGCGATTCGAACACATGGCCTATACAATAGCTTGCGGTGGGTGTACAAGTCAATGCTTTTATCCCCCCAAGCGAGTCTAGCACCCATTAGCCGACCTCTGAAGGATAAAAGGCTCGGTTGGCCTGTGCCAGCCGTGTCAAATATGGCTAGGAATTATTTATTTTCATGGTCCCTCATGCCAGCCAACATAAAAGAGATAAAAGAAGAACCGGAAGAAGAAGAAGAAGGATGAGGCTCTTTACCAGTTCATTTCATCTATTCAGTGGGGTAAGCAATGCTTCATTATGCTTTACGAGCTGAAAAAGTCATATTACGCTGCTCGCCCCAAATTTACGAGTAAGTAAAAAGTCAAAGTAGTTGCTTCAATGGACTGCTCATGCACCATGAGAGTCTACAGACTGAAGACTACAGAAACGATTGATATCCATGGGAAGGATGGGGTAGACAGGCGTACGTAGGGTTCCATACACTTCATTGGGTCTCGATGACATGGACCCCACAAATGGTAAGTAGTGGTCCTAGACACTTAGCTAGGTTTTCTGAATGTAAAACTTCCTTGGGTTTCATTTTCCTCAGTGACTCAGAGAGCTTATCTCTCTGCCGTACCGCTCAACCATGTTAGCCCTTCCTTCCTCCCTTTAACACCTGATTATTCCACTTGATCATGCTTTTCTGCGGATATAGCGTGACGATATATCACATATTACAAATACATATATAGCTTCACAGTTACAACTATGATATTTATAATAAATGAGTTTACTTGGCAATAATTAGGCTATCCCTAAGATCTACCCTTATCTGGAGTCGCTTCGCGGGAGCAGCGGTTTTTGAATAGGTCCCCACTCTAGACAATACTGTAAGGGAGGGGTCTTTCCCTTACCAGGATTCTTGTTTAAGACTACCATGGATTCACTGGATCCAGGGTAGTCCTATGTACTGACTCTGCCCTCTGCCCGTTGAACTTGCTTGGGTAGAAAGAAATTCCTGCGGCTCCTCCCAGGTGGGCTCAATGAGAAAGAGAGAAACAGCCCAGTAGACCCATCCTTGTTTCTATCACGGATATGTTTAACAAAACTTAAAATTTCGAATTTCTTATATTCACCAAATTAACTCCATCAAAGTTTTGGACTTTTTCGAGGGTTAGGTACAACCAATTGAATGGAATTCAGTAGTAGCTTCAATAGTGTCCTTTTGCCACTAAAAATCGACTTTTATTTTTTCCTATCGATAATTTCTCATCTCCTTTTCATCTCATTTGCATTCTCAAGCAAAGCTTAGAAAGTTTATGAAAAGAAGATAAATATCCCCCCGCAATTACTCTACGTTTCTCTACTTTTACAGGTTCAAAGGAAATGAATAAACACTTATTCGTATGAATATTTATTTGTTTAATTTTGAAATTAGATTATTTACTGTTTGGATGATGGGGGAGAGCACAACATCACTACCCCAATAAGCCCTTAAGCAAGTGTTCGAACTCATTTTTACTGGCGAGTCCTTCGTCTAATGTTACCGAATAGGCGCTCAGATTACTTATTCATAGCGTTCAAACCGTGTCCGTTATATATGACCACGCGAGGACAAATTTAGATGGAATTCGAGATCGACTGAAAATGCGAGAACAGCAACGGGGGGAATGAACGTCCAGTAGTGGTATCAGAGACGATGGGAGAATTCAAAGCGGAATGGGCATTGGGAACGATGACCGACGCGGAGAACTGCGACCATCCGAGGGCTCATGTGGCCTATCTATGGAAGAGATGATGTAATTGACCGGCATCATGCAAGCATGTCTGTGTAATGCGCTTTTGGACGGAGGGAAAGAAGCCTATTGATGGATTCCGTATTGACGCGAGTGTTGCGCATTTTCCGTTTCAACTTGGGCACCTACTCAACTGTAAGCTTTGGGCGACCCCAAGGCAATCATAAAGTGGCTCTGGATGTTAAGTTGGTAGTGCGTGCAGTCGTCAAAGACGTAGCCACTGGTTCGCTTAGTTCACAGACACTAGCAGTAAGTATTAAGTCAGCCGAATCGGTACCTGCCCGAGCCAACCGAACCTTTCATCGCTCTAAGACGGTTTATCCGGAAACAGATTTGTGTGGGGGGATGGAAGCGCTAAAATTACATGACTACCCGAGTCGTTGTAAAATCTGTAAAGTTAGTGTGCCGTCTGGGTCGAATCAGTTGCTTTGCCACCACTTCAGTTAGCGAGCCCTCAATGACGGAGGCCCGTGGCCTGTCCGAATTCGGTAGGGAGTAGTTTGAGGAAATGGAAATCGAAGTTATAGGCAATCCATTGCCTGTGGACGACGACAACTAGGGCTAAGAGGCAAAGGGTACCCTGAGCACACCTTTTTTTGTGCTGATGAACCTTTTATGGCAATTTACCAATTATCTCAAACGGACTATTCCTAAAAACCAATCACCTGTTTAATAATTTCAGTGAAAAATTGTAGTTAATTGGTGAACAAGAGCAAAATTCATGGATTAATTGAAGCGGAAATTATCACTAAGCATATGATTCATAGAAAATTCCCGAATCCATGCCTCACTCATACCATACCCTCAAAAGTAAAGCTGAACAACCATAATAATTTTTAATAAGGTCAAGCTTATACAGAAGTCAAAAAGCACACAGATGATGCCTTAGAAAAATACCACTGATTGTTCGGACTTCCTCCTCATTTAGAACTTACTAGATGGTTATTCTGAGCCCAAACATTGGCCCGAAATCTCCGATTGCCGGATGACCACCTGACTGAAATGCTCGAAACTTCCAGAAGCTTGGTAGGAAATCATCCAGAAATTTTGGATGCCTGGCAGATACTTTCTTCAGAAAACCTCCTGCTCAAAGGTTACTCGCTGCTCAAAGTGCTAATAAATCTCCCATCCAAGTTAATTAGTTGAGTTAGAGTAGGAATCGTACAGTACCATCCTCACGAGGGTTCTGCCTCTGGGGTTGTTGATGCTCATAAACTTTTTACTTAAAAGGCACAGTTCACGATAATTTTGGGTAATCCAGATTATGACAAAAAATGGAAGATAAGATG